TTTTTTTTTTTTTTTGTTTTAAATCCTGCTCTACAAAAACTATATACTACTACTCTGTGCAATTAATTGCATTTATTTTGTGATTTGCAGGTTGACTCACCAATATGAAGAAGCATCACTACACCTGTGGGAACTGCTTGAGGGTCGAGACAAGGCTGTAGCAGGGACCACGTGTAAGTATTTTCATGTCTTAATATCGTTCATCACCCATACACATACATTTATTTATTTATTTATTTATTTATTTATTTATTTTTAAAAGAAACTATTTTTAAACTATATTTAAAGCACTTGTGGAAAATGCCTTAAAATGGAGAGGCTTAACATGTGGCTAGTTGATATTTATTTCATGCCTTCATCTTAAGTGCAGTAAGAAAAAAAAATATCTTAAAGAAAATGTTTGGTGTGTGCACCAAACATTGGCGGAACATTGGCGGAAACTTACTTGCACTCATTGTTAGTAGTTAGATTGTTCAAGACATCTGATCGGCCCCAGTTTATTGTATCTCTTGTTTCATCCCTTCACACAACATTTGATTCACTCGGTTAATTCTGAGATTGGCTCATACCAGCTGTTGCAGGACTTCTCTTGCAGATTGTACTGACTGTGTAAGAAAACGGAGGCAGACCTTAATCGTCCATTGTGGTTTGTGATAATAGGAAAGTCTGAACAGCTTCGGTGTTCTCTTATTCCAGACAAGTCACTGAAGGAAACCCTGGACAAAGTGCTGCAGAGTGGTTACTTTGACAGAGCGCAAACTCATCAAAATGGGACATGCGAGGAGGAAGAAGAGCAAGAGGAACAGACCGTGGTGGCTGAGTCTAAAGCTGTGGAGCAGCCATCGGAACCTGGTAGCTAACAATTAGCAAATGGTGTGTGTGTGTGTGTGTGTGACCCAGAAAGAAAGCCATCCTCATGTATATTTTTCATTTAATATAGGATTCGCTAGTGAAAAAAATACAGAGCCCGTTAAAGTGGAAACTATAGAGGTGAGATTTGTATTTATGCTGCACAAGAACCCACACAGATCAACTCTTTCCTTAAATTGTTATATCACATTTTAGTGTACTGTCTTCTGTTGCAGTTTGTAAACAGACAGTTCATTCCAGAAACTACATACAGCAGTACAGACAAAGACCAAGTCGAGGAGTGGAGTGTGGAGGCCCAGGTATGCTCTATTACTGAATCATCAGTCCTCGGTGCCTTGAAACCTACTTTCCAATGCCGTGAGTTTGATTCTAATGTGCCTGTCATGTGTCTGTGCTGAATAGATGGTGAATTCACTCCAGCATCAGCCCCCAGCTCAGCTGGCTCCAGAACAAACCATTACTGTGAACCAAGTTTCTCCCACTCCTGATACTGATCCCGTGGTTAGAAAGCAGGCAGTGCAAGACCTCATGGCCCAGATGCAAGGGACATACAACTTCATGCAGGTTAGATGGCCCAAAATGCTGTATATTGTAGTATCCTATGGCTCACAGTGTGTGGTGTGTGTCTCAAATAAGCAATGGCAAGTAGGATGAACTTGCAAAAAGGTTGGCCAAAGATGAGGACTGCATGTCCAGGCAATTTACAACAATCTATGAAGTCGTGCTAGAGGTCATGAGACAAGAACGTACTTGTTGTGACTCAGAAAACGAATCTAGTTGTAATTTCTGATATATGAATGTGAACTTAAAAAAAAAAAAAAAGAGTAAAATATCGAAACAAGGAAAAAACCCATTCCCAATTTGGGACAAAAATTCAAAAGAAGTACAATTTAAATGAGATCATGATTATCCCAGGTTTTAGGAAGATGTGCTTACATGGGAGTTGGTACTAAGATCCTTTTAGTCAAGGTTGTTTGTAGTTGAGGTATTTTCCTAATGTGGAGTGAAGGATTATGGGTATGAAACAGACGTGCTCGCTTGTTTATTGGACTGATTGCAAATCTCATCTGTTTACATTTACTCTTGTTTGGTTGTCGTAGGACTCCATGTTGGAGTTTGATGGCCAGGCGCTGGATCCAGCCATTGTGTCTGCGCAGCCAATGAAGCCTGTGCAAGCTGTTGACCTGCAACAGATGGGCGGTCCTCTACGTGAGTGACATTTACTCACAGGTTATACTGAATATGGATGCACTGATTTATTAGTATTGCTCATACTGGCCAATAGACTTTAAAATATAAATATATATACCGTATTTCCCGGACTACAAAGCGCACCTGAATATTAGCCGCACAAGCTAAAATCAGGGGAAAATCCTGTTTTGTACATACATTAGCCGCACCTGACTAAAAGCTGCAGGTGTTTCAATGTTGACTTATCATATATAAGAGAATATGCACAAAGGGAATTGTCAGGAAAGAGATGGCTGTTTGGAGACACACCCCTTTTATTAATATTTTGAAAAACAAGTTATGGGTACATATTTGCATAACTTTTTAGGTATATGTACAAGTACCGGTAATTACAAGTACGAAACATGTACTGTGCTTCATAAATGAGTAACAAATGTAGTACATAACAATAACCTACAGCACACCAGAAAAATAGATTCAGACTACCTTTTAGGCTCAGGTGCAGCGACACGGCTTTAACAAGAAGAAAAGTCAGTCATTCACCACCATCTTTCTCTTCTTCCTGCGCACTACAACCACCAAAGTCCTCTTCTCCAGTGTCGGATACAAACAGGCTCAGGATGGCTTCGTCATCCACTCTCAGCTTCTTTCCTTCGTTGTCACTTTCAAAACCAAAGAAATCCTCGTTGTCAGTGTCAGAGTCGAACACCCTCAGAAGGGCCGTGGCGGTGTCCTCCTCTCCATCATGCAGCAGTCCAGCCCTTCAAATCCGTTGGTGATCATGGATGTTTTCACACTTTTCCACGCTGTCAGATTCCACCGGTGGAGTTGAGCATAACTTGCTTTTCGCAAGTTTATCGCCGCTCGTCATCCACGCCTCCCGCTGAACGCGTAGCGCTACTTTGAAGTTTGTTTTTCGCGCTACTTGTACGGCACTATGTTGCTTGGCGGATGGACATGTGACCAACATACCACTCTTGAACCCCGATACTGTGTGTCTGATCGCATGCCCTTCCGCCAGGCAACGTAGTGCTGTACAACAGCGGAACAAACAAAACAAATCGTCTTACGATATCACAAAAATCATGGACAATCCATAGAAAAGCCGCACCTGACTAAAAGCCGCAGGGTTCAAAGCTTGTGCAAAAAGTAGCGGCTTATAGCCCGACAATTACGGTGTATATATTTTTTAAATAGGATTTCTTTGTTTCCTGGGCACAAATGATCACTTTGCTGTTAGGCCAGAGGTTCAATTAGTAATTAGTGCATGCCTATTAAGTTGTTTGGTCGCTGCTTTCTGATGTGGATATAATTGAAAGTGCATAATTTAGCAGCATGTCTTTTTTTAGGAGTTTGTCTTATTTATTTGTTTTATGTCTTTCTGAACAGTCCACTCAGAGTCCAGACTTCCTCAGACAGCTGCAGTGTCTGGACCACAGGAATCCTCACAAGTAAGTAGGGAGGAGCCCCTGCAGGATATGGGTGGTGAGACTGCTCTTCTGGCTAAGTGGTGCAGCTCATGAATAATTGGAGTTCAGATTGTTTTTGTATTATGAAGAGAGATTTCGAAAGGTCTTCTCCATGGATTGAATGTGATGCTCTCCGACACATCTTTTTTTGTTGTCTACTGCGTGCGATGGGGAGATATTTGATTCATTTGAATATTATAATAACAGAAAAGGGAACTTTTTAAGCCAAAAGAAAATCATCTCATCTCTTGCACTGACTTCTCCATATTCGTTGTTTCTTTGCCTTCCAAATTCCCTCCTCTTTTACCTACCCAGGCCTCAATGTCTCTGTCATCTGCACCGTCTCCTGCCCCATGTTCTCTGTCCTCTGCCTTCCCTCCTGTCTCCAAACCCACCCTCACTGGAGGCATCAATGTCAACGCAGCACCTTTCCAGTCAGTGCAAGCGGTACGCTTTCTATTGGGTCCATTTAAACGGTGTCACAGTGAGCATGTTTGGACTTGATGCATTCTGTAGGAAACCGTCAGCTTTCATACTTGCACAAGTCATAGGTCAGTATTAGAGATTGGTTGGCATGTTTTATTAGTCACAGTGAAAACTGCTCAGTTATTCGTGCAAGGAGCAACAATTTAAGACTTCCCAAACTACGCAGATCTTTGACCCCAGGCCATCGTCGGGTATTGTGGTTATTTTATTTTGTTATATTGATATGGACAGGAATGGGGGAGGAAAAAATTTGTTTCTCTTTTCAGGTATTTAACATGAATGCACCTGTACCTCCAACTACCGATGGCCAAGCAGACCCCTTGAAGCAGCCTAGCCAGTTCCCTGGTGGCTATGGACAGGCCTTTAGCAGCCAGCCAGAAAATGTGGTCGACCAGCCTGACATCCCACAAGAAAGATTACAGACAGGTGTGCATCTTGTTTTGTACGGAAACCCTAGAGCATGAACACAGTGGTAAAAGATGTATTAGGATATCAAGAGGCTCCCAAGCTTCACTTTGTCACAAAAGAAATATTTTCTGTTGCAACAAAGTTGAAATATGAGTCAGTGAGGATGCCATAAGTAAAAATCATGCAGCCTTCTCAGAATTCAGAAGGTGATTTTGCATTTTAAAAGTAAAAAATCCTTCCATCCTCTTCTGCCCATCCTTATCAGGGAGCCTATCCCAGCCACCATAGGGTGAGAGCAGGGCAGACCCTGGACAGGTCATCAGTCTGATACAGGACTAACACAAAGAGACAGACAACCACTGGCATTTGCATCCACACCTATGTGCAATTTAGAATTTCCAATTAACTAAACCCACTAATACCTTGTCTAAAATTAAAAATGTACTAGAACTTATCCAGCAGTACGTGACGTATATTTTGATGTCGTTTTGTGTCTCTTCTGTCCAGTTGTTAATGCATTCCAGCCCCAGGACCAGATTATGTCCTCAACGCCAGGACATGAAGATCCCTCTGTAGGTGCAGGGTTTGGGCAGTCTGGTCAGTCCTTCTACAGCAGCAGAGCTGTGCCAAGAGGTGGACCCAGGAACGCTCGTGGCGTTATGAATGGATATCGGGGCTCCTCGAATGGATTTAGAGGTAAAAGCATCCAATGTTGTTTCACAGATTTACAATAATTATATTGTGATTTATTTTGATTAGGAGTAAATATGCATCACCTGTTGAACTAATGTCTTTCTGTCGTCAGGTGGATATGAAGGCTACCGTCCACCGTTCTCAAACGCTCCCAGCAGTGGATACGGTCAAACTCCGTTCAACACATCTCGGGACTATTCCAGCAGTACCTATCAGCGGGTAAGAGTTAATGCATTAATTTAAGTCATTGCATTGAGTTTACATCAGTCTTTTTATAACCAAGCGTAACTATAAATATAAAACATGCGCTTATGAAGCCTTACTATCTCTTTAAGGAGGGATATCAGCAAGGCTACAAACGTGGAGCAGCCCAAGGACCTCGTGGTTTGTCCCGAGGTAATGTGCAGGCAATGCGATCCTAAAGGATCCCGGGGACCGTCGAATTACGCCACGTTGAACATTCAGGATTTTTTGAATGTGTTTGCCCCAGCTCACTTTTATAACAATGTTTTGTTTCTCATCGGTAATCTTATTTTTTTAACTCCTGGCCTACTTATCAGTCAGCCTGCTTCGGTCTGTCTAGATCTTTTTGATGTTTTGTCACAAAAATGCTGAAATTAACTACATGTAGGATTATCAGCAAGTACGTGTGATGGAAAAACAACAAAAAGATATTCCTGTAAACTTGAAAGATTTCATTAATTTATTTTTTGTACAAAATAAATGCAAAAAATACCCCGTCACTGTCTATTTGATTCCATGAGTGCTGTAAGTCACTTGTTACTCCCTTTATAATTTTCATCAAAACGTTTAATTTTCTTGTTTGTTTGTTTTTTTTTTTAAACTCCTGTGTCCCTGCCTGCATCGTCACCTCTTTGTACACTGTTATTGATTGAGACTGTTTCAATAAAGTTGTGCCCTATTACCTTCTGTTGCTGAAGCTGTTTGTTTTCTGACATTTTCATTCTGTGTGGTCTTGCATGTGAGTAGTTTAACTTAATACAATCCAATGTAGAATTCAGTCTACTTCAGAGCAGCCTTCAGCTATGACAATAACAGCTATGGAAACAGCCCATCCTTTTTATTACATTGCATCTGTTCATGGTTTCACTGGAGGTAAATGTCCCACAGGAAAGGCATCGCTCAAACATTAGCAGTGAAATCTGTTTGACAACCTGAACCACTTTATTTTAAGTGAGGTGTGCAATTTTGTCAAATGACCTTTGGATCCAGCAGCAAGAAATCAAACACCAGCTTTACATTTTGTGCAAAATATAATGCATGGCACACGGGAAACGACTGACAAGGCAAATAAAGACGTTTTCTTAAATTTTGTAAGGTAAAACCAAAAAGCAGAGATCTCACCAACTGAAAATTTAGGTCTTCAGTGAGAAGCGGCAGCAACTCTCAAATATCTCATTATTCTCCCCGAATTGAAGAAGCAAATTTACATTAAACAAAAGCATACAGGCTAACACAGCATGTAACACCAAACCAGCATTTTGCCAAATATGCTAATATGTTCTCTTTCATGTAAAAGTCATAAATGCCTCAAAATGAACAGAGAAACAAAATTCAAGGTTTTCATTGCCTTACTTTGACAGACGGTTTCAGCAAAATACTAGATGGTTAGGTAAAAGTAAACCTTAAATAAACAATATCAAAACTGTTTCATCAGAATCACGTAGCAATACATGTGTATGGACCATGAGTTCATTATACTATTTAACAAAAGCACTATTTAAGAGCTTTTACTGTTCAGTACAGTAAATTAACTGTACACATAAAGAAAAAAATGTGTTATAGTAGGAAAATAGTAAACTGGTAGTTTGAGGGGAAGCAAAATGACCATTAAGAAGGGAGCATTTGGAAAAAAAGACAGCGACCTGGCTTCATAAGGTGTTGAAGGTTAAAGGATTGTAAATGTCAGGTCACAGTGATAGCTGCAGATCTGACAGCACCTTGTAGATCATTACACAACACAGCGGCTGCTTGTATCAATTCCTTAGTTTTTTTTAGTGCGATGTCTGGGGATGGTGTGAAAATGATGTAAGCTTGTTGCATTTGCTACCGTAGATTTTTTTTTTTTTGCCAATTTAGTGTCATAATTAAATAAAACAAACATCTTGCAGTTAACTCTTGAAGTATGTTTTCATAAGGTCCATCATGATTCATGCATGTCTTTTTTTTTGCAGGTTTTTTTGGAGTATATTGATAGTAATTTAAAAAAATCTAAATCTCAAAGGCTGTAATTAAAATGAGTATTTTTACACCTTATCTTCTTAAACAGCTGCACTGTACATATCCAGAAGGCTCTTGGGTCAGGATGTTTAGCAAGCAGCAAGTCATTTTGAGAGGAAACAAACAACCGGTCTGAAAGCTCACAAAATATTATTTATATGATTCTATTAAAAAAAAACACCCTCAATGTAAGCAAACACAACTGTGGTAAAATCTATGTATGCACATATCAGGATCCAAACCCATGTAGGTCATTTCACTGTGTGATTTAATTATGTAATGAAGGGATTACTGTCACCAAGACTGAAATCTGGGGTAACGGATTCCCTTTGAGTGGTTGTTCTTCTCAAATGCACTTCAAACCACTAATGCTGGTCAGGGTGGTTAAAGAGGTCCTTATACTCTGATGGGACTGCTCCTCAGCACTTACGAGTGCAGGTGCTGAAAAAGTCTGATTGTAAAGTTTTGTGCACATTATTATGGCAGCTGATTCTGGCTTTGCACAACTTCTTGATGACCAGGTGGTATATTATCATGTGTTTGAGGGAGACCTTGCTGGGCCTGGTTTTGATTTTCTTGTCCATGGTGTTCCTGTGGTATATCCTGAGGAGCTTGGGGTGCAGAGTCATGACCTTGGGGTGCAGGGTCATGTCCTTCGGGTAAAGGGTGATGTTCTTGGAGTGCAGGGTCATGGCCTTCGGGTACAGGGTGATGTCCTTGGGGTGCAGAGTCATGTCCTTGTTGTTGGGCCTCATGCAGTTGGCTGTCAACTGCAGGGATTTCTGGGACGGCGTTCCCTTCAATTGTAACAAAGAGAACAATTTTATATTCTCAGAGGTTAGACCTTTAAAATCAAACCACTATCAAAATAAAAGTAGGAGAAAAACAAAATCAACACTCACCGAGAACCTCTGGAGGAGGGTCTACTTTCTGTGACTTGAGACGTTCCATATGCTCAACTGCCTGCAGAGTTTTAGTACATTAGAATTCATTTACTACATGTGGACAGACAATTTGATTGCTTAAAATACAATATAAGCACAGCTGAATCAATTGGTAAAATGTGAAGGTTAGGATGTGGGCAGATTGATGCACTGACTGTAAATCTACAGAAGCAACCCTTTTTCCATTAGTAGTGTACCATTCCTTACCTGTTGTAGCTCCATTTTCTGTGCATTAAGCTGCTCCTGTTGTCTTTCCAGCTCATCTCTCTGTTTCTGGAGGTCAAAAGCCTTCTGGTTGAGATCCTGCTCTTGCTGAGCAAGATGCTCCTCAAACTCCCTCATCTCGTCATCGGTATAAGCCTGGTTCTGCTCCAAGGTCTGAAGAACACAGAGCAGGTAGGAAGCCATTTTTTACAGTCCTGCCTTGTTTAACCAAATGTTTCTGTATTAAATAACTCATAAAAGCTGTTATCATGATAAAGTGTCATCTAATGTTTCTCACCTCCCAGCTATCTGGCTCCAAGAATTCTTTCTTCTTAGTAGCAACAAGGAACTCATCCAGAGAGACCAGCCTGTCTTTATTTGAATCCACCTGTGACACAGACAAGAGCAGAAAGGCTTTTAACACTAGTTGTATATTTTCTTATTCACTGAAAGGACTAAAGCAGATAAAACACAGTGGCGCCTGTTTAACACAAGATGCAAACCCAGCTGAGACCGAGAATGAGCTTTAGGTGTCTTTTCTATTTTGTTTCTGTAGTCACTAAAGTCAGTCATGTGACTTTAGTCACAGGCTTTGAATTATGGAGACTAACTGTCCATATGCATAAAGTTTTTGTGCTTCCAACCTTTTAACAAACTGATGAGCTGCATTAAAGGTAGTAGAGGACTGCGATTGTGAATATTACTACATTAGAATTAATGATGCTAAATATTACCCTATGTATATTTCACACACAGAACAATTTTGGCCCAGCTAATCCAGGATCGGCTTTTTCACCTGCATAGTTTCAGGAAAACAGGTTGCTGAGTGCAGCTTGTTGTACCTCATTCATAACATGCTCTCTCATACGTAGCCTCTCTTCCTCCATCTCCACCATGTCGTCCTCCTCGTTGGTGGGGTCATAAATCTTTTCCAGCTGAAATCACAGAGGCCCACAGTCAGTACAAAGACCTACTCTGAAATATTTACACATTTTCAGAAGCCACAGCTTTACCTCTTTGGTGAACAATGCCTCCAACTCCTGTTCATCAAAGAAGCCATCTCCATTTGTATCTATATTATTGAAAAAGAGAAAAGAAGGTGAATGTGCCTTGTTCTAGTACTGTATGTTTTACAGAGCAAATTATGTATGTTAGTAAATGATAGTACAGGTCTTACCATGCAGGTTGAAGAATGTCTTAGGATCAAAATCTTCAGGATCTAAGCCATCAGCTTCCTCCCAGACCTCCTTCAGCTGATTCTGACTTCCCTGCATCATTGAAGTAAAAACACATTTGATTTCCAGATTGAGGTAAAATGAATATTACAATCTGGACAAAAAAAAAAAATCCCAACAAAATATATCATTTATTTTTCTCTGTGCACCTTCGTCACTTACCGGGTGGTTGACTTTAGGGTGGTCGGCGTGCTTCTTCTTCATCTCCTCAAAGTGTTCCTCCTCTTTCTTCCTCTCCTCATCATCCAGTGTTTTCAGGTGTTCTCGTCTGTCGTGCTCTTTCATCATTTCGTACCTCTTGAACTCCTCGTGTCTCTCTTTGTCATAGTTCTCCAGATCTTTAGTGGCCTGATGACAAATAGAAAACAGAAATTGTTCAACAGTAATAACCACACAAGATTATACCCAGCAAACAATAATGCATCAGCTGGAAATGTCACTTAGACACAGTCGAAGTCAAAACAAGAGATACTATTCAGAACATCAGACTACTTCCAGACTGTCAGACCCTCACAGTAGTAGTAAACGGGATTTTTCAGGTCTATGCCTGCACGTTTCTATACATCAGCGCACTTCTGGAAACCATTGTGAAAAGCCTTTTTGTCTAAACATCATCTGAGACACAGATACAAGACTAAACGCATTGCTGTTTTTAAAACCAATAATGAAAAGAAGGTCAAATAAAAATAATACATCTGTCCTCTACACCTCAGTACTCAGTACTACCCTTTCCTTTCTAGTTGCTGGTAATTATAGTCATTCACCAACTGTGAAGCTTTCACCACCTACGGGCCAATTTTGGTGTACGAATTAAGCATCTGCATAGGTTCCTGTTTTCTCTTTCTCTCTACTGCAGGACTCCACTGTGCAAAGGTACAAATACTTTCAAGATGTTATACTTTTCATTAAGTTCGAAGTAGCATCGAGCAACAACATTTACCGATCTGATCAGCCGATCCAGATCTTCCACTTCAAACGTGTGTGGGTTCATGTGGTTCAAGTATTCAAACTGTTTCAGCAGCGCTTGATGGTCCACTGCTATGTCTGTCCAGGGAGAAATTCAAATATATTACACATATTAAAACATATGAATACATAAAATAGAACTTTCTTTTATTTACCTCTAAAATAATCAACTTAAAGTTGATTTAGAGCCTGATACTTTAAACAGAATTCAAAATGAAATTATTTTTGTTTTGCACAACTTACCATTTCCTCCTTCAAGGTCCTGCTTGGCCTTAATCAGGGTCCGGAGTCGGTTTACCTCCTGCCTTTTTAACTCATCTAGTTTTGTTCTGACATGATGGCTGACAAAGTCTAGCTCTTTGGCCAGCTTACCTTGCTGCAACATAAATAAATTGTAGCAAATTAAGCGATTAAAACAATTCTGGAACGTACACTACACTTTTACAGCAAAGCATATTGTACTTTTGATAACACTGGGTTAAACTTTGCAGGAAGCTGTGCATGTACACGAAACGAGTATATTATAGTGACTATTGTCTTATATAAGGAGCTGGTTGAAATGTTGTGCCACTGCAGTAAGACCAAACCAACAGAAAGCGGGGTACCTTAATGTCTTCCATGTCTGTATTGTGGAGCTTTTCCCTGAAATGCTGATCCTTCTCTAGAAAATCAATGACTTCTCTGAGGTAGCGGTCATAGTGGAGTCCAGTGTCCTAAAAGTACAGTAAATAAAATGTAAAAACGCCAATAGCATGTTACATTGGGTAACCAAATCCTATTTTAAACATTTCTGATATAGATCTATATTTATATATACAGTACAGCATCTCTATCTGTATATGGGTGACAAATTAAAGAAAAATCCAACCAAAAGTGTCTGAGCAAGTACAGAAAACACCACCACATGACAAATACAAACTGGGTTGCCGCTTTCTGTAAAGATCATATACTTAATATCTAAAAAAGAGCATTCCCGTGCAATCAACACTGAAACTATATTGTACTTGTTTAACCTCTGTATGACAGTATTTACCCCTTCCAGAGGCACAAATGAGTACACAGATAACAGTATTTGGGCACTAAACAATCTATAGCATCTGAAACTATTGTACTGAGAAATAAATTGGTTTGTGAGATCACAAGTTTTAAAGTTTTGAATAAGAGAAAGAGGCCATTTTTCCAATAAACTTAGCAGGGGCGTACTTACTGCAGTGTACCACCTATGAAATAGCTAATAAATAAACAGTAATAAATCCTTTATTCTGTGAAATTATGTAATCCAATCCCACAAAGATTCTTGAAGCCGCTCATCTCTATACACATTGTTTTAAGTAAAAAAAAAGGAAACAAATATTTTTATAATAAAAAAATCGTCTTATCCTAAAAATAATGACCAAAATTGTGAGTTTTATGCCTGCCTTAAATACTGTTAAAACGAATAGATAATGAAAGCCAAATAAACACAATTATCTCTCTGCACCACTGCTGAAAAAGGGTCGTTATTTGATACGACATGTATTATGGTTTGTGGTGAATTTTCAGCGTGCAGTGTAAATATTATGTCTTCTTCCTTACCACACTGGCTGGAGGCTCTTCAGGCTTTTTCTCTGGTTCTTTGACTTTCGTCTTGTCGATGCTGATGGGCACAGCCTCCAAACACAACAGCTGGACAAGCAGCAACAGCAGCCAGCCGGCGAGAAAGGCCCGGCTCCCCCACATCTACAAACGAGAACAATCACTATAGTGCCGGCTGAGGTGACGTGTTTTAGATTTTACAATATCTGGAAATATACATTCTTGAGTTTCTAAGTGCGTAAGCATCATCGTGTACCCAGCTTCCTCATTTTTGATCTTCCTCGAGCAGCCCATCTAGTCTCCACACACTGCAAATTATTGGCTAATAATAATAACCAGAGGAAGCTGTTGGTGTTAGCCTTTAGCACCGTCACTGACAGATTTAGCGCTTCGGTGCCAAGCATGGACAAATGAGACACTCATGTAACGTTACACCGTGAGCCTGAGCAGAAGAGCTTATACAGCATTTCCCCCACGCTCAGCGTGGATTTTAAAGCTTTACTAAAGAGCCCCATAGACAGATATGTTGCCAGTATACTCACTTTATTATGAACACAGGACCTCATCTACTCTACCTTCCACCCGTCGCTTCCTCTCAGCTGGAGAGGTGTCAGCAGCTTCCACCAGCCCGCTGGACAGAGTAGCTCGTGTGGTGGTTAACCTGATTGGTCAGTTGGGCGGTCTGTCAAACACACTAGCATGTTGCGTTGCACTGAATCGTACGTGGCGATATGACAGCAGAGCAGGTGGGCGGGTCTTTTGGTTTGTCATCTACGGCACCGTACGGAACGAAAATGAGACGGAAAATTCACGCTGGGGGTGGATGAAACCCGTGATGCTGAATGACTAATTTATTTATTTAAAACACACAGTTGGATTTTTTTTCTTTTTCAAAGTATAACGATTTTAATTTAAATTTTCTAATTATTTGCCCCTTTTCAGTTTTTCATTTTTGTTTTCAACTTAGTTCATTTAAATTTAGTTGCTCCGGGCTTTTTTTGTTAATCAGTTCTAAATATAGTTTTTGTTTATTTAATACAATACACGAACATTTTTCATTCATTTGTCAGAATATGTTGCAGATTATAAAAACACCGTTTGTGAAGGCGCTTGACATCCCAGTCTTAAAGATACAGAACTGTGCAAACACTTCAGCGACCCCTCATTTTTTAAATATTTTGCTAGGAAGATGGGAAATATGCGCAGTGATTTATTGAAGCACACATTTAAACATACATTAAGATGCAATATAAAAGGCAAAAACAAAGTTCTAACAAGATGGAAAGTGAATATTTATTATGACCACCTTTATTCTACAACAATGAACTTTCTTAGGCAAGCTTTCTTGCAGTTTCTCGAAGTAGTATATAGGACTCTCAAAGCTCATCTTTTGATGTTGGCTGCCTTTTGTTTGGTACGATCCTGTGGTATCGCAAGAAATTAGTAGGTTATATAAATATATGAGTATGCATAATAGTTATTATTCATAGATACCTACATCCTAAGTTCCTGTTATTCTTCTGAAAGAAACAGAATGAATGTGTCGTTACAATGGTAATGCCAGGAGAGGCAGTATTAGTTCTGTGTTACATTAATGTGTAAGGAAGTGGAAGAAGAGTGTGTCCTGTAGGAGGCAGTAGAAAATGGATACTGATGTTCTGTACATGCCCTGAAAGAAAGGTTCAGTAAACCAGTGCAACGATACTTCATTGTAAGTCTCAGTTATTGTATTTTTTATTTTTTGAAGATGCAACAGATCCCATTCATAATTCCATCAGTTTTGATATTAATTCCACTGTTTGAAATGCAGCCCCCAAACATGAGAGAGCCTCCACTGCATTTCATAGATAAACCATCTGAAAAATGGTAAAGGACCATCCAGTGTTCAAAGAAAAACTTCAAAGACCTTCAGAAAGTCTTTTATTAGTACAAATACCTTAAAATAAAAAGTGCAAATAGAGTACTTAAATAAATGTATAGCTAACCAATTCCAATGTTGGGACTTCACCAGCAGCTTTAAGCATTTAATACTTTCTTCAGTCAGTGTTTGCTTTACTTCCTGTGGAAAAAAAAATCCCCCTAAGTGCAGTTCTGCCTCAGCTTTTTGTGAGCTCAGGAAGCAGCAGTCTGTGATTAATGGGACCAAGTTCACCTCTTAACCCCGGTCCTGTTCACTGGCCTCATGGGAAGATCTTACATGAAACTTTTTTTTGTGTGTGTATGTGTGCTTATAGAAGCTCAAACTGTACTCATCATCTTAGAGGCTGATTAGCCATGAATAAATGACTGCTACTCATTTTCTTTTGTGTGTCTTGCCTTTGTTCAGTGTGTCTGTAAAGATTTGATCTTTTTTTTTTGTAACTGTAACTGTTCATTATAGAGCCACAACACTTTACAGGTGTGTAGCTGGGATATAAATGAAGGTCATGTTTTAAATATTGGGGCGAAAAGAAAAGGGTGCACAGTCGTTTAATCTATGTGTAACTGGTGTTATAATAATATTTTCCATCGTGGATGTGAAATTCACAGCTACTGCAGTCCCACCGCAAATCTGTAGCAAATCTCAAACTTAGTCCTGATTGGTGTAGATTCAGCCATCTGTATCGAAAGACCATAACGCCAGAAGAGGGCGCTGTTGCTATGTGCTGGCTGCGTCGATTATTACCATCATTTTGACTTTTGTAAAAGTACTGAGTGTTTTGCTTAACTGGTCAAATATACTTAAAGGCAAATGACACTAACATCAGCCATGAAATTGTGCACCTTGTTAGCATCGATCCCTGCTGCTGTGGTTTAATTACCTATGAATCAGCATATATGAAAACCTATTTACAAAGGAATTATTTAAACGCTGTTCTGCTTTTTCATGCTACATCTTCAACAGCTGATTGGACCAGGGCTGAAAGAAGACTTAGAGCCGCTGCCTGCAAGTTGTATAACCATTAGCTTTCTACTGGAATTATGGATGACAGAATAAAAATGCAATGAAGACTTTGAAGCTTTGGCAGGTCCAGCAAGACAATGAATCAAATTTCTATCTGGATAAGTGAGGTTATGACTAAATATAACATCCCTGCTCTTTAGATGACAGTGTAATAGTTCACTGAGTTGGAAGGCAATTATTCAATGTCATAGATCATAACTGGAATTGATAGTGAAAGAACACTAGAGTGGATGGGAAGATCAGCATTTCTTTTTAATCAGCCACTATATCATAAAATGTGCTGCATAATGAAAAGAAGGCTACTGTCTAAATATTACCCTACAGAGAGTGTTAATAATGTAGGAACCTGTACACACTCATTTATATACCTTACTCTGCTGACATGAAGGTGTATTTTAAAAAAAGCATTTCTGAAAAGATGCTATTGATTTCCTATAAGGGCTTCTGCCAACTAGATTAAGATCCAAATGATTCCTTACTGAAGAGCTGGAAGTCAGAACAAGAGAATCTTTATTTCATTTTCAGCTCAGCACCTTTAGCGAGCATAAGTAAGTGATTCAGCGGGAGGAGGCTCTCTGAGGAGAAGACAATAACATTGAGTCACCTTGCTGCATTGTGAGCCTCTGGCAGGCAAGAGGCAGGATTCAGCAGCAGTAGCAGCAGAGAACATACTGCAGAGCTGCGCTGGCCTGCGCAGCAACTAAGTGTGTATTTGTTTGTGTAAATTAGCATGTATAGATGGATGTCTACATAGTGGGGATGATAATAAATCATAGCAAGGTCAAATAACAGCAATTGAGTTTGGCTACGAGATGATTACGCTGCAGTGCGTATGGTGTTTCAGCACTCTGTACCTGATTGTGCAGACTGGTTGAGGAATACACAACAAGTTGAATCAAATGATGCCAAGTGTAAATGTAATGTTTGGTGGTATTGATGATTAATTTAGACACTGTTCTATTTAATTCTGTTGCTTGTGTCTGCCTGACCTTTGTACAGTACAGAGGAAAAGCTCCAAAATGCATCACATTTTTATCTGCAGTGAGCTGTAACAGGGTGGTGATGTTATAATATCGTAACAGCTATAATAGTACATTTCATCATTCACACATTTTGTTTGTTTCTTTAAGAAAAAATCAAGCTGGGCATGAAAAATCTCTGATAAATCTGCCTATGTACGGCACTACAGTACTGTGCAAAAGTCCCTACATTTCTTTATATTTTGAGGGAGCTAGTCTTTCTTGTACCTTTTTTTTAAAGTGGTCTTGAGCAATCATTTCAATTTTTTTCTTTGGACTTTATTGGCTTTTAAACTCATTTTCAGTCCTTGTACCTGACCATTTTCAGAGGAATGTTTATTTTATTTGTTAAGCACATTAAAACCGATCTATGAATGACCTATAGCCAACTTTAAATTGTATCTTTAGGCACTTTGTTACTAGCAGTAGAAGGATGGCTGTCAATATGCCATTCTTAAGGAAGGGAAACAGAGAGAAAAGGCTGAGGTATGCCAAATTAAACAAAAACTGGGCTAAACATCAGTGGCAACATGTCTTATGGAGTAATGAATCAAAATTTGAAATGGTTCAAATCCTCATCAATACGTATGGATGAGGTTAGCATGGAGGTCGAGCAGTGACTATCCACAGCCATTTTTAAAAGACAGTGGAGGTGCTGCACCTATTTTTTCATTTTGGTAGCAAAATATAAAAAAATGAGGAGGCTCATGAGTCTAAGTGTACATTTGTGAAAAATACTAATACCAATTCTTTTACTGAAATGGTTCCCTGGAAGTAGATCTTATTTAGTTAATAATTAGATTATTACATGTCATATATGATCAGAAATCCTACAGGTTAGAAATAGTTTATGACCCAATTTTGTTTTACTTTTCTTTCATGTAGGCAAGAATTTGGGAGATTTTCAGTTAAACAGCTTCTGCACAGCCGATAAAGGCAAAGCTTTTGAGAAAATTTTATCCTCCACTATCTTTAAAAAGCTGTGCCTTGAACCACCGGGGAAGAACAAAACATCCCCGAAGTGAGTCAGAACCAGTTAAAGCACATGGTATTACACAATGAGGGTCATAATAGTGATGATTCATTAGTATAAGAGAGCTTGGGATGATAAGATGAAACCGTGCTGCTTGTCTTGTTGTCTTTTGGTCAGCAAAATAGCCCCTGTGCCAACACCACTGTGACTTTGAACATTGCCTGCCCAGTGAAAATTTATGAGCAGCGGCGGTAAATTGGGCAGGTCTGTTTGATGCAGTGTAAGCATTATTGTAATGTGTCATGGTCAGAAAGGCTTTCTGTCCTTAAAGCTTGGCTGCAGTGCCAGTGAAGGTGATGCGAGGCTGACAAACATCACCTAAAGCTTCCAGTACAATTAATGCAGGGACATAGATTCAACCTGACCTGCGGACGTTCTCAGCACACATTTATATCCTCACGTTTCACTACTCCAGTCCTCTGTTTTCCCTTGGAAGACAAATATCAAAATATAAGCATTTATCTGTGCTTACTCCTATATCACTTTGTGTAGTTTTTATGTGGTACTTCCAGGATCATTCTTTCATAAAAGGGAAAAGACAGTTTCTATAAAATTTCAGCAGAACTCATTTGATTGTCTGCTTGTTCTCCTCTATTAATGAAAAGGACGTTTTTTTGGCAGGAAACCTGAATCAATAGACAACTTTATCTACATTTGTATTATTTTTATC